CCCCCATTTTGCCTGCCCTGCAGCCATCACGGGCGCGCTGGCGGGGCTGGCCGAGTACTATGGGCAGGGCAAGTGGAGCGGGCCGCTGCAGGAGGTGAACGATGTGGACTACCGCCCATACCTGCTCAAGCCCTGAGGCCTCGGTCGCGCCAGGCTCCCAGCCCCGAGCGGCTCGGCCTCGGTTGTCCTGCTGGAGCAGCGCCGCAGCATCACCGGCAGCACGGCACGGCGACCCGCTGCGTCGCCCTAGTAGAAAGAAAGAAAGAAAGCAACATCATCACTGCCTCATTCATGGGCGCGGAGGCAGACTGCGGGGCGCCGCTGCGGCGCGCCGTGCCCCCGCGCCCGCTGCCGGATTGTGGCAGCACTCGTGCGATGCATTGGTATCCATTCCTCCCCCCCGTGAGCTGCTGTGGACTGTCGCCGCCTCGCGCCGCACCCCTCCCCCCGAGCGTGCCTCAGAATCGTCCGCTGCACTCCTGCTGTCCCGCCCCCGCCCTCCCGCCCTCCCTTGCCGGGCAGGGCATCTGCCCCACAGGGCGGGGAGCGGGTGCGTCAGCTTGAGCCCCGTATTATGTGTAAAGTCTCCTCTCTCTCCCCTGCCCGCCCAGGCCATCGCCTGGCGTGTCCTTGCATCCCCCCTCTCCCTTTTTTTGCCCCTGAGCGCTCTCTGCTGGAGACGCCAGCCCTGCCGGATTGATTATTGATTACAAGGCTGGCACTGTAATACCAATGTGCCAGCAGCAGCAGGGCAGGGCGAAGCAGGCGTCAGGCCGCCGCCGCCTCTGCATCTGAGGCTGCGGCAGGTGCCGCGCCTGGGCCGGTGCCAGGCTGCTGCAGGCCCAGCTGCTCCATAGCTGCCAGGAAGTCGGCAGGCAGCGGCGCCCGTACCGTCAGCAGCTCGCCCGACCGCGGGTGGCGGATGGTCACGGCGGCGGCGTGCAGAGCGTGGCGGGCAATCCAGGGGCCTGCAGGGAGGCAGGGCGGGGGAGGGCGTGCGCGTGTGCAGGGGGATACCAGGGGGGGGGGAGCGACTGTGGGAGGTGTGCATGCAGCAGGCAGTGCCTGCTGGTGCGTGGTGAACAGGAGCGCTGCCAGAATGCAGTGAAGAGGAGCGGTGATGGGCCGCTGGCCTGCCTGCCCGCCAGCCCCACCTGTGGCCCCGTACAGGTCATCACCCAGGATGGCGTGCCCGGCATGCGCCAGGTGCACCCGTATCTGCGCCAGGCAGCAGGCGCGGCAGGCAGGCAGGCAGCCAGGCATAATAAGCACACCAGCTGGCCAGATCCTGAGCAGGTGGCAGCGGCCA